CGTGAGTCTCGCGCGTTGGCGTGGCCGACGGCGCGGCGTTGCCTACTCGATCGATCCTGACGTCTCATCCTGCCCTACTCCCCCCCCCCCCCCCCCCCCTCCGCTGCTGCCGCTGACGGCGCTGCTCGTCGATGGCCGCAGATCCTGGGCTCGCTCAAGGACACGCACTTTGCGCGGCTCAACAAGAACGGGCGCGTGGCGTACGCCAGCGTCGTGTACAACGCGACGGCGCAGATGGTGGGCTCGACGTCGCGGTCGCCCGCCGCGGCGCTGACGGTCGAGATGATCAACGAGGTGCTGCAGCACGAGGCCGGAGAGAGCGAGGTCGTCTACCGCGCCCTGGTGGCGCTGGGCAACCTGGTGAGTGGCAGGCAGTCGAGTTGCAAGCCGAGCGCATGGAGCGTAGCTGACCACACGGCGCGTGCGTGAACCTGGACCTCAACGCCGTCCTCGCCCCTGTCGCCAGCTCTACTCGACGTCGAGCGGGTCGCTGCCCGTGGGTGCGCTGCAGTCGGCCAAGAACCTGATGCGCAAGTGGGCCGGGTCGTCGTCGGTCGGCTCAGAGGAGCGCATCAAGGCCATCTGCGCAGAAATCCAGAGCCTGTAGCGCGTGTCTGTTGCCGTCGCCGTCGCCGTCGCCGTCGCACGAGATGACGAAGGGCGCGGTGGCATCGACCGAGGCGTTGGTTATCCTGGCGAATGGAAATTGGCCGTCGTCGAGCCGGGGCCGGGCCTGAGACCTCGACGGCTGGCTGGCTACGCTGCTGGCTGGCTCGAGCGTTTGCTGGCGGGCGAGTCATTTTCTTCGCAGAGGCTGGGTTGCGGTCCACAGGCCAGCGGCGGCTTGCTTGTCTCTCGCCCCGCCCCGCCCCGCGCCCCCGCGCTGACCAACTGCCGGCGTGACGTGCCCCGCCTGGGTCGATCTGCTTTGGCCTGACTTTAGCCCCGCCCCGCCCAGGCCAACCTTCTCGCCGCTGTCGCCGTCGACTGCGTGCCTGCCTGCCTGCCTGCTTGCCTGTGGTCGCCCGCTTTCCTTCTGGCCTGGCCTGCTTTCGCCGACGTCGCCTGTGCTGCCCCGTCCATCCTTCGCTCTTCGCTCTTCGCTCTTCGCTCCCGGCCCCCCTGCCCTTCGCTCCGCTCCTGTCCCCGCGTCCATTCCTACCATCGACATCTTCACCACCACCACCACCACCACCACCCCCGACCCTCCTCTCCACCCCTGCTCTGCGCTCCTCGCACTCGCGGTCCATCGTCGACCCCTCCCGAGAGGACCCAGCAACGATATCAACGCGCTTGGGCATGCTCGCTCGTAGACCACCTGCAATCGTCTCCCCTCTCTGTCGATCCACTCGCATTGGCACAGCCACCCTCCCCTCGCCCTCGTCGCCTCCCCTCCGTCGCTCCCTCGTGACTGTTCCCAGAGGCCCCTCGCTGGTCCATCCCTCGTCCTCGTCCTCGTCCGCGTCCTCGTCCTCGTCCTCGTCCAGCAGCTTCCGCCGCCCCAGGATCTCGACCCGCTCGCTCCTTCGGCCCCTTGTCCCGCTCCCCTCCAGCCTCCGCCGCACCATCACCAACGACACCATGGCCGCGCTCGGAACCACGCCCGGCGGCGCCAAGCTCATCGACGGCACCGCCCTCGCCAAGCAGGTCCGCGCCGACGTCGCAAAGCGCGTCGCCGAGCTCAAGCAGCAGTACGACGCCTTCCAGCCCCACCTCTGCATCATCCAGGTCGGCTCCATGAGCGCATCCTCGACCTACATCCGCATGAAGAAGCTCGCCGCCGAAGAGTGCGGCATGCGATACACCCACGTCCAGCTCGACGAGGGCGCCAGCGAGCAGGAAATCATCCGCCGCGTCCGCGAGCTCAACGAGGACATCAGCGTCGACGGCATCCTCGTCCAGCTGCCCCTCGGTGACCACATCAGCTCCGACGCCGAGCGCAGGGTCACCGAGGCCGTCAGCCCGGAAAAGGACGTCGACGGCTTCCACGCCCTCAACATCGGCCACCTCTCGTCCAAGGCGTGCAACCCCATCTTCTACCCCTGCACCCCCGCCGGCGTCATCAAGCTCCTCGAGACGGCCGGCATCACCTCCATGGCCGGCCTCACCGCCGTCGTCATCGGCCGCAGCGACATCGTCGGCAACCCGGTCACCAGCCTCCTCCGCAGCCGCGACTGCACCGTCACCCAGGTCCACAGCCGCACCCGCGACCTCCAGGCCCACCTCGCCACCGCCGACATTGTCGTCGCCGCCATGGGCAAGGCCCAGTTTGTCAAGGGCGAGTGGCTCAAGGAGGGCGCCGTCGTCATCGACGTCGGCACCAACTTTGTCGAGGACGCCTCCAAGAAGTCGGGCTTCCGCATGGTCGGCGACGTCGACTTTGAGGGCGCCTCCAAGGTCGCCGCCGCCATCACGCCCGTGCCCGGCGGAGTCGGGCCCATGACGGTGGCCATGCTCATGGAAAACGTGCTGCGGGGCGCCGAGCGCAGCCTCGCCACGGGCCGCGCGCTCGGCATCGGCCGCGGCGTCACGACGGCCAACCCGATCCAGCCGCTGGCCAAGGTGCCGAGCGACATCGAGGTGGCCCGCTCGCAGAAGCCCAAGCCCATCACCCAGATCGCCCGCGAGATCGGCCTGCTGGCCAGCGAGCTGGAGCCCTACGGCGACGTCAAGGCCAAGGTCCACCTCAGCGTCCTCAAGCGCCTCGCCCACCGCGCCAACGGCAAGTACATTGTCGTCGCCGGCATCACGCCGACGCCGCTGGGCGAGGGCAAGTCGACCACCACCATCGGCCTGGCGCAGGCGCTGGGCGCCCACCTCGGCAAGGCCGCCTTTGCCTGCGTCCGCCAGCCCTCGCAGGGCCCCACGTTTGGCATCAAGGGAGGCGCGGCCGGAGGCGGCTACTCGCAGGTGATCCCCATGGAGGAGTTCAACCTGCACCTGACCGGCGACAACCACGCCGTCCAGGCGGCCAACAACCTGCTGGCGGCCGCGCTCGACACGCGCCTCTTCCACGAGGCCACCCAGAAGGACGGCCCGCTGTTTGACCGCCTCTGCCCCAAGCAGAAGGGCGTCCGCACGTTTGCGCCCATCATGTTCCGCCGCCTCAAGAAGCTCGGCATCGACAAGACCAACCCGGACGACCTGACCGACGAAGAAAAGAGCCGCTTCGCGCGCCTCGACATCGACCCCGAGACCATCACCTGGCGCCGCGTGACCGACACCAACGACCGCTACCTGCGCTCCATCACCGTGGGCCAGGCGCCCACCGAGAAGGGCATCGAGCGCAAGACGGGCTTCGACATCGCCGTCGCGTCCGAGTGCATGGCGGTGCTGGCGCTGAGCCGCGACCTGCGCGACATGCGCGAGCGCCTCGGCCGCATGGTCGTCGGCACCAGCCGGCGCGGCGAGCCCGTGACGGCCGACGACCTCGGCGTCGGCGGCGCGCTGGCCATCCTCATGAAGGACGCCATCAAGCCCAACCTGATGCAGACTATGGAGGGCACGCCCGTGTTTGTCCACGCCGGGCCGTTTGCCAACATCGCCCACGGCAACTCGTCGATCCTCGCCGACGCCGTCGCGCTCAAGCTGGCGGGGACCGAGGAGGGCGAGCCCGTATCGCGGACGGGCTACGTCATCACCGAGGCCGGCTTCGGCGCCGACATTGGCATGGAGAAGTTCTGCAACATCAAGTGCCGCGAGAGCGGGCTGGTGCCCGACGCCGTCGTCATTGTGGCCACGGTGCGCGCGCTCAAGACGCACGGCGGCGGGCCCGAGGTGACGCCGGGCAAGCCGCTGAGCGAGGTGTACCTCGAGGAGAACCTCGAGATCCTGGAAAAGGGGTGCGTCAACCTCGAAAAGCACATCTCCAACGCCAAGAAGTTTGGGCTCAAGGTCATTGTCGCCGTCAACCAGTTTTCGACCGACACCCAGGCCGAGCTGGAGCTGGTGGCCAAGAAGGCGCTCGAGGCGGGAGCCGACGCCGCCGTGCCCGCCAACCACTGGGCGCTGGGCGGTGCGGGCGCCGTCGACCTGGCCAAGGCCGTCATCGAGCAGCTCGAGGGCAAGGCGTCGGACTTCAAGTTCCTCTACGACGTCGGCAAGCCGATCGCCGACAAGATTGAGATCATCGCGCGCGAGATGTACGGCGCCGACGGCATCGAGCTGTCGGAGATGGCGCGGCGCCAGATCCAGACGTACACCGACCAGGGCTTCAACGACCTGCCGATCTGCATGGCCAAGACGCACCTGTCGCTGTCGCACGACCCGGCGCTCAAGGGCGCGCCGACGGGCTTCACGCTGCCCATCCGCGAGGTGAGCCTGTCGCAGGGCGCGGGCTTTGTGGTGCCGCTGATTGGCTCCATGACCAAGATGCCCGGCCTCAACACGCGCCCCGGCTTCTACAACATGGACATCGACTTTGACAACAACGAGGAGGTCGTCGGCCTGTCGTAGGTCCCACCGTCGCTCGTCGGCGCTCGTCGGCGCGTTTGTTGGCTGTTTCGCCTGCTCGTTTGTTCGCCACAAGTGACGGCAAGGGAGGCGTGCTTGTGGCTCAACCCCCTCGCCCGCCTCCCTTGTTACCTTTGCGCCCGCATCGTACCACACCCTCTAGCCCCGTCTCCCCCTTTGGTCGCCTCGTAGATTTCCATATCCCCCCGCGCTCGTGCTCGCTATCCCAAGAAAGAAGAGAATACATCAACTGTACCAGTAGACGTGCCCCCGCCCCGCCGCTCCGCCTTTGTGGCATGACGGCTGCGTGATTCGTCTGCCTGGATGGATGGATGGCTGCCATGGGGAGAAGGGGAACCGGCGGTAGCGTTGGGGTTTGCGAAGAGGCGTGCGCACGGAGCACGACGGCAGCGGCGGCAGTCTTGAGTGGCCAAGGTGGAGGCTGGTTGGCTGGTTGGCTGAGCAGGGCTGGCTGCTTTGCACCCTTTCCTCTGTGCCACCACACCATCTCCATCTTCCTTGCCAGGCTTGTCGCTGCCTCGGTAGCTGCTCGACCCGCCTGCCTGCCTCATCAACCGCCTCTGCGCAGTGCTCCTGAACGACCTCGACTGTCAGGGACCCTCGGAACCTTTCATCGCGGTCTCCGCGATGTCCTCCTCGACCGGCAGCGGCAGTGGCACGGCACCACCCACCACGACGATACCGGGCTCTTCGGCGCCGTCGTCGTCGTCATCGTCACCGCCTCCGTCTTCGGCCGAACTCCAAACCGCGCTCTCGTCGATCACGACCCTGCTGGACCTGCTCAGCCAACCACCGAGCACGCTCAACGGCGACGCGATCCCGTCGCTGTCCCACGTGGTCCCCTCTCTCCTCTCGCCGCTGGTGCCCTCGCGCAACACGGCGGCGACGACGCTGCCGGACGCGCTGGCGCTGCAGATGGGCCTGCCGCCGCTCTCGCAGGCGGCGCAGATGGAAAACGTCAAGCGGTACCGCGACGTCGTCGAGGCGTCGCTCACCACCCTCGAACGCATGCAGCACGCCCTCCAGGACGGTGGGCAGGGCGACGAGGCGGTCAGGCTCGTGCAGAGGTGCATGAAGATGCAGGGCAAGGAGGGCGAGAAGCGCAGGGTCATCAGTGTCAGGAAGAGGAGGAGGGCCGAGGATGCCTCCAGGACTGCGGGTCTGGGGTGAGAGAGAGCCCATCGCGGGTCGTTACAGGGTTGGCCAAGAGGCGGCATGGATTGGACCCACCAGGCATCGTCGCCTTCGCCATCAATGGACGTAGGGGGTCCGACAGGGGGGGTCTGACATCCTGCTTTGGTGAGTGCTGCGCTTGCTGTGCAAAGTGCGCTCGACATGATCGAGACAACGTAGCTGACCGCCTCGTCCCTCATGTTTCGTCTGCCTAGTTAAGAACGTCCAGTCTTCGTCTCTGCCCACATTCTCCCTCGCCGGGCTCGACCATCTGCTACCAGCCGCCAATCATCGCTCTATCTATCCTCAAGTCTATCCGTTTGCTTTCAGGAATCAGAGCCGCCGCTCGACGATTTGGCCGCTCAACCGTCGCGTCCAGGGAGAGGCTCGCATCATGGCCGCCCATCAAGATTCGCAGTGCTGGCTGCTGCCGCTGCCTCCGGTGCCTCATCCGACACCTTGCCTGCCGACGCACATCGCGCCAGCCTGAGATTCTACGATGGTGTTATCAGCATGGTATACGGGCCTTTGACAAGGACGCCCTGCTACCGCCGCTCTCGGCCTCGTCCGAGATGCCGCTTGCTTCCAGTCGACCTGCTTCGGCTGCTACAGGGCGGTCTCGTGGCTGCTCCAAGCATATTGCTGTATGCCTGAGCACCAGGGCTAGCAGGTGTGATGGGTTGCAGCGCTCCTGTGTGGAAGTGATTGGAGATCTGTGGCCAGAGGTGCGGGGAATCGCTGGCATAATCTCCAAATTCGACGTTTTGCCCCTGCCAATTGGATGCAAAGTGTTGAAGGCACTCAGGAAATGCCCGAGATTCGACTTTTTTCCCTCTGCAAATATCTACCAGGATACTGATTTTGGCATCGTGAAGTGCTGAAAGGATCTCGGACAAAGTTGAAAGCTTCAGCAAGCACGCGCTTGCGAGCGGGGACTCGAAAACGGCCCCGCCTCGCCTGGCCTGGCCCGCCTGGCCTGCCCGTGACTCGCCGGCACGAGAGCCGGTGGGCGGGGCAGCGCACCTGCATGAAAACCCAGCCAGCAGGCCAGAAGCGGCAGCAGCAGGCAGCAAGGCAGGCGGGAAGGCAGGCAGGAAGGCAGGCAGGATGGCAGTGGGCCCCGAGCCTACATACCTCTGCTGTCGGTGACTCGAGGACGCGGAGTCGACCCACGCCCGCCCGCCCTGGCCGCTTGCTTCGTGTGGTTGGCCTGCCTTGGCTGTATTTGACAAAGGCCCCTGCCTCTTCCTTCCCTCTTGACCCCGCACTCGCAACCCACTCGACCGCCATCCTTCTCGCCACCGCCATCCTCCTTCCCGTCCACCTCGCCACCGCGCTGCCCTTGCTTTCTTTCACCGCACCCAGCTCCATCGGACCAAACAGCGCACTTTCGCCGCCGCAAAAAGACCTCGAGTCGCCACACTCTCCACGTCCCAAAAGGCCCGCCGCCACCGCCGTCGCCACCCAGCCAAACCCCCTCGAGAAAGAAGGAGGGCTTCGAACCAGAGCACCGCTCCGAACCAGGCTCCAACCATGTCCTCGTTTGCCGTGCAGTTCGCGCGCCAGCAGAGGCAGGCCTTCCAGGCCGCCTCCAACATTGCCTCGGCATCGGCATCCTCGTCGTCGTCGTCAAGAGCGTTCTCGACGGCCAGGAACAACCTACCCAGACCCTCTCACGCCATGACCCGGAGCCAGCAGCAGCACCTCGCCCTCACAAGAAATATCTCGACCAACCAGCCGAGGGAGCAGGCTGCCGCAGCCCAGGCCGCCACCAGCGCGTGAGTGTCAACCGCGAGCAGCCCTCGGCGCCGTCGCGCGCCCACGCTTCCCTGTCGCATTCCTTCTGACTGACATGAATGCCCGTCCCATCTATCGCGACCCCCCCCCCCCCCCCCCCCCCTCCCCGCTTCCTGCGCCTGACCACGCCCGACAGCCGCCCGGAACCGTCGCCGGCGTTCCAGCAGTCGCCACCGCAGAAGCTCGCGCGCATCCAGAGCGAGTACGACCACAACGCCCTCGACGAGTCGTTTGTCGGCATGTCGGGCGGCGAAATCTTCCACGAGATGATGCTGCGGCACGGCGTCAAGCACATCTTTGGCTACCCGGGAGGCGCCATCCTGCCCGTCTTTGACGCCATCTACAACTCCAAGCACTTTGACTTTGTGCTGCCGCGGCGCGAGGACGGCGCCGGCCACATGGCCGAGGGCTACGCGCGCGTCAGCGGCAAGCCGGGCGTCATCCTCGTCACCAGCGGGCCCGGCGCCACCAACGTCATCACCCCGCTGCAGGACGCCATGAGCGACGGCACGCCGCTCGTCGTCTTCTGCGGCCAGGTCGCCACCTCGGCCATCGGCTCCGACGCCTTCCAGGAGGCCGACGTCGTCGGCATCAGCCGCAGCTGCACAAAGTGGAACGTCATGGTCAAGGACATTGCCGAGCTGCCCAAGCGCATCAACGAGGCGTTCAAGATCGCCACCAGCGGCCGTCCGGGCCCCGTCCTCGTCGACCTGCCCAAGGACGTCACCGCCGGCATCCTCCGCCAGGCCATCCCCTACAGCTACACGCAGCCCAACATGCTCAACAGCATCCCCAGCCGGCAGACGGCGCGGACGCGCCGGCACGCGGCGTACGCCAACAGCGCCAACCTGCGCGCCGACGCCGCCAGCAGCGCCGCCGCCGCCGGCCTCAGCGCCGAGATGCAGGAGGCGGCCCGCCTGATTGGCATCGCCAAGCGGCCCATCATCTACGCCGGCCAGGGCATCCTGTCGTCGCCCGAGGGCCCCAAGCTGCTGCGGAAGCTGGCCAAGGAGCACAACATCCCCGTCACCACGACGCTCCAGGGCCTCGGCGCGTTCGACGAGCTCGACCCGCTCTCGGTCCACATGCTCGGCATGCACGGCAGCGCCTACGCCAACCTCGCCATCCAGGACGCCGACCTGATCATTGCGCTCGGCGCGCGCTTCGACGACCGCGTCACGGGCCGCGTTGACAAGTTTGCGCCCCACGCGCGCGCCGCCGCCCTCGAGGGCCGCGGCGGCATCATCCACTTTGAGGTGATGCCCAAGAACATCAACAAGGTGGTCCAGGCGACGTGCGCCATCGAGGGCGACGTGGTGGCCAACCTGGGCAAGCTGCTGTCGCACCTCGGCAGCGAGCAGCCCGACCGCAGCGAGTGGCACCAGACCATCGCCGAGTGGAAGAAGGCCTACCCTTTCACCTACGACCCGTCCAAGCCGGGCGAGCTGATGAAGCCGCAGGAGGTCGTCGAGGCCCTCGACGCCGCCGTCGCCGGCCAGAAGGAGAACGTCATTATCTCGACGGGCGTCGGCCAGCACCAGATGTGGGCCGCCCAGCACTACCGCTGGACCCACCCGCGCACCTGGGTGTCGTCGGGCGGCCTCGGCACCATGGGCTTCGGCCTCCCCTCGGCCGTCGGGGCCAAGGTGGCCGCGCCCGAGAAGATCGTCGTCGACATCGATGGCGACGCCTCGTTCTCGATGACGGCCATGGAGCTCGCGACGGCGGCCCAGTACAGCATCGGCGTCAAGGTGCTGCTGATGAACAACGAGTACCAGGGCATGGTCGTCCAGTGGCAGGACCTCTTCTACGACAAGCGCTACTCGCACACCGAGATGCACAACCCGGACTTTGTCAAGCTGGCCGAGGCCATGGGCGTCAAGGCGATCCGCTGCGACAACGCCGCCGACCTGCCGGCCAAGATGAAGGAGTTTATCGAGTACGACAACAACAAGCCCGTCCTCTTCGAGGCGCGCGTCACCAAGAACGAGCACGTCTACCCCTTCTGCCCCGCCAGCGCCGGCCTGCACGAGCTCATTGTCCACCCCAGCCTCAAGCCCGTCCCCAAGAAGTAGGCCCCGCCGTTCTCACTGTCAGTCTAGACCTGTTGCCACCTGTCTTTTTCTCCTCGCTCGTCATCTCCATTCCAGGGCGCCGCTTCTCTTTCCTTGACGTCGCCGACTGTGCCGTGCCGTGCTGTGCTGTGCCATGCCGTGCTGTGTTGGACCTGCCTGTTGTGGCCTCTGCCATCCGCCTGGCCGACTGTCTGGTTGCGAACGACGTTGGAGCGAGGATGCGCCGTTGTCGCGCGGCTGAGCGATGGGCCGAGCGAGGCCTGATCTGGCTCCGCGCGCGGCAGGCAGGCTGGCGGTCCGGGCTGCCTGGCCAGGCTGCACCGCTGCACGGACTTCCATCGACCCGGACCCTAACCAAGGTCGGGTCGGATCCTCGAGCAGCCTTCCCCCCCACCATCCAACGCTTCTCTCCCATCTTCGTCTCTTCATACCCCATTCGCCACGACGACCGTCAGCGCCGCTCGCATCCTCGCTGCTATTGGAACAAAGGAGCTGACGAGGCAACTTCTCGCTCCGCCTCGCCTCGCCTTTTCTGCTTCGAGAACGTCACCTAACCGCCCTTGCGGCGGCGAGAACCTCGCCAGCCCACAACGGTCGAGCCCGCTCAGTGCCGCAGACGTAGACTGCTCGGAGCAGCTCCTCTGCGCACCGGTGCGACCATGTCAACAGCCGCGTCGGAGAACGGCCCCTCTTCGCCGCGGGCCTCGACCGAGCTGCACGTCAACGGAACGGCAACCAGCGGCGAGAATGGCCGCATCTCGATCTCGTCCTCATCCTCCCTTCCGCCGCCCTCGCAGGCATCTTCGCAGCCTCCCGACGAGGCGGTAGCAGCGGAACGGACGCCCATCTCGGCCATGAGCGACGCCGATGTCCGCGCGGAGCTCGAGCGAGTCCGCGAGGAGAGAGACGGCTTCGAGAGCCAGTACCGCGGCCTGCTGGCCAAGCTGACCCAGATGAGGAGCACGCTCGGCGACAGGTTACGCCAGGATGCGGTGAGTGAGGGGCCGCCGGGCAGCACGGAAGACTCTTGGCCTTGCAGGGCGCCCACTCATCTCTGACCTTGCATCGCCCACCGCCTTTCGATCCGTCCGGACCACGCAGGAAGAGCTGGACCGCCGAGAGCACCAGATCGACGAGCTGACCTCGCGCACCGCGGAGCTCGAAGCCACCGTGTCGACGCTCAAGGAGGAGCTCGTTTCGTCGCACGCCGAGACTGAGCGGATCACGGCCGAGTCGGATTCGCTGCGCGCCACCATCGCCGCCTCGAGCGCCACCTCGGCCTCGACCTCGCAGGACGTCACCAGCCGGCTGGAGCGGGAGCGGGAGCTGCAGGAGATGCTCGAGAGGCTCAAGATGGACTGCGAAGGGTGGGAGACGGCCTGCCTCGAGGAGAGGGCCAGGAGAGAGGAGCTCGAGGCGACGGCAAGGGAAGCGCAGAGCGACAAGGAAAGGGCGGAACAGAGGGCCGAGGCGATGAGGCAAAAGGCCGAGAGAGAGGAGCAGAGCGCCAGGGAGCTTCAGGCGGTGCTCGAGGAGTTCCAGAGCGGTGAGTTGCGCTTCCTCACCTGTCCACCATGCGCCGCCCGCCCCGTCATGGCCCTGGCCCTGGCCCTCGGACTGCGCTGACATCCGATCACACCGCTCTTTCACCTTCTCCTCTTGACCCTCCGACAGCTCAGGAGAGCGAGCTGCGGAGGGCGCTCGGCGACCAGCAGGAGGCGTACGAGACGCTCACGCTCTCGCTCAGCCAGCACAAGGCGAGGGCCGACCAGGCCGAGTCGCAGCTGGCCCAGTACGAGGCGGCGGCCAAGCAGTCGCAGTCGCTGAGCGCCGAGGTGCGGGAAAAGAACCTGCTGATTGGCAAGCTGCGCCACGAGGCCGTCATCCTCAACGAGCACCTCACCGAGGCGCTGCGGCGGCTGCGCAACGACGGCGCCGAGACCAACGTCGACCGCAAGCTGGTCACCAACCTCCTGCTCCAGTTCCTCACCACGCCCAGGACCGACGGCAAGCGCTTCGAGATGCTCAACCTCATCGCCTCGGTGCTCGGCTGGAGCGACACGGAGCGGGAGACGGCCGGGCTGCAGAAGATCGGCGGCGGCGGGTCCTCCAGGGGCGGCGGATGGGGGATCGGCGTGCAGAGCCCGAGCAAGGCCGACGGCAAGGGCAAAGGCCACGCGAGGAGCGCAGTGGCGGGCGACGAGGTGAGTGGTGGTGCCGCCGTGCCTCAGCTCCACCCGCCCCTTTGCAGGGAGACGGTCGCTAACGAGGCCCCCTTCCCCACCCTTGGTTGCACCATCTCATCTCGCAGTCATTCTCCAACCTCTTTGTCGAGTTCCTGCTTTCGGAAGCCGAGGCCGGCGGCGGCACCGGAGGGACAGGGAGCGGCCCACCCACACCGGCCCGCAAGTCGATCAGCAGCCCGTCGGCGGCCACGACGCCCGACGGGTCGTCGAGGCGGCCCAGCATACCCTCACTCACGCAGTCCCTCTCGTCCACGTCGATACGCGCCGACGACGTCCCTAACCCCAGATAGAGGCGCCGTGGCGCGCGCCATCGACGCCCGCCAGCAGCCCGCAGAGAAGGCAATCGCATACCTGCTGGACTCGGGCCCGAAGCGGCGCCGTTCGGCTGATGATGACCTCCGCCTGCTACGCTTGTGTTCTGTGTAGGAGGCGGCGAGAGTTCCAGTCCTCTTTGACGATTGAAGTCGCAGGCGCTCCTCCTGGCTGAGGGCATACAGCAGGCCATCGTGGCAGCAGCGGGTGGTGCTGCTGGCCTCGATCGGAAGCCGCGCCCGATGGCGCCCGACTCCCTCGAGAACCTGCACCTCCTCGCGAAAACCGTTTCCGCGGCATTTACGCCAGGGACCTCGTGGCGCCGACGCGTCGACGCGGACCAGAGAGGTAGGGCGCGGCTCGCGTTTCCTTCTCCGTCTGCCCCGCAGCACGGCCCTCGCCTGCAATCGCATCGTCTGAGCCCAGGCCGCTCCCTCCTCTGCTCCCTTCCACCAACCTCTCCGTCCTGGTCCCATTCCCGTTTCATCGTTCCGCCCCATTCGCGCACGCCAGCCTTGCATCACCACCACCTAGCATCCTTCATACCCCGCCCTTCAGCTTAGCCCCCGTCCGACAACTTGACAGCATCGATCGCCGCGCCTTACCGGTGAACCAGGGCCCACGTTTCTCTCCCTCTCTCTATCTTGACTGGCCAGCCCGACCGCCTCGACCTACAGACGACCTTGGGACGCGATCCTACCTCGAGCTTCCACTTTCACATCCTTCAGAGGCCGCTCGCTGCCCTTCCCCTCTCTGCGACGTTGAAATGGCCCCCTCGACGTCCAAGTCGCCTGCCCGAGCCAGCGGCGGCGGCGGCAAGCAGTCGACGCTGCTGGGCTTCTTCGGCAAGGCCGCTGCAACCACGCCGGCCAAGCCGAGCCCCAAGAGCACCGCCTCCGGATCGGCCGCGACGCCAAGCCGCACGCCGGCCCGTCCCGCGTCGGCTCGCCCGACGCCCAACGGCTCCAGCAGCAGCGTCTCCTCGAGCAGCAGCACCAGCACCAGCACCCTCAGCAGCCTGGGCAGCGTCGACCAGCGCGCTGCCACCGCTGCTGCTGCCGCCACGACGCCTTCCGCCTCGAAGAAGCGCGCTGCAGCGGGCGGGCCCGCCAGTTCAAGTGAGCCCAAACCCTCGCTCCTGGACACGCCCCCGCCCACCGAGCACCGAAAGGCCAAGCGCACCGCGTCTGACCACGAACACCACCACCACCATCACCACCACCATTCTGGCCCCGGTCCCACTCGCTCGACGATCGATCAACGCTCCTCTGACCCGCCGTCGTCCCCCACAGCAGCACGGACCGCCGCAGTCGCCGCAACCAAGCCACTTTCCTCCCGCCTCACGCCACCGGCCAGCAGCGATCCCGACGGCATGGACATCGACGAGGACGACGAGGACCTCATGCCCGTCCGCAGGGTGAGTCGTGTGGCAACGCCTGGCCCACTTGCCTGCCTGACCGACCGACTGCCTGTGCCGCGGCATCGACTGACGACATCCCGCCCCTTTCCCCCTCCCCCTGCCCTCTCCCGCTCCTGCCACCCGGCCGCCTTGCAGAGAAGCGCGGCGAAGCGCACCATCTCGTACGCCGAGTCTGACGACGAGGCCGGTGGCGGCGGCGGCGAGACTGACAGCGAGGCCGACGAGGACGGCGGCTCCTTTTCGCCGTCGGCCAGCAAGAAGCGGCGCTCCAGCGGCGGTCGGACCCTCAAGCGTTCGCGCACCGCTCGCGACGACGACAACTTTATCGTCAGCGACAACGACGTCGAGGAGGAGGAGGAGGAGGACGACGACGACGAGCGCGCTCTCGGTGAGTGCGACCCGCAGTGGCGCTTCGCGATGGGATCGGCCCCTGACCCTTTCGCCTCCTTACCTGCCTTCTAAACGCCCCGCAGCCGCCACCGACGACGACAGCGAGGACGAGGCGCCGCTCTCGAAAAAGGCGCCCTCGCGCGCCAAGGCGAAGGCGGCCCACGCCGACACGTCGCCGCGGCCCTCGAGCCTCGGAGGCTTCCGCATGGGCAGCGGCCCGTCGTCGAGGCCGTCGCCGTCGTCGTCGTCGGGCCGCCTCGATCAGCCAGGGCGACCGGCCCTTGGCAGCCGGCCGACGCCGCCGGGCGGGTCGTCGCTGTCGCACCTCACCAAGGCCGAGCGCCGCGTCATCGAGGAGAAGCGCAAGCGGGCCGAAAACGAGCAGGCCTACAGCTTCCTCGTCGACCTGCGCGACAAGGACGGCAAGCGGCCCGGCGAGCCCGACTACGACCCGCGCACCGTCCACATCCCCGCCTCGGCCTGGAAGGACTTCACGCCGTTCGAGGTGCAGTTCTGGAAGATCAAGCAGAACCACTTTGACACGGTCCTCTTCTTCCAAAAGGGCAAGTTCTACGAGCTCTACGAGGACGACGCGCTCATCGGCCACCGCGAGTTTGACCTCAAGCTGACGGACCGAGTCAAAATGAAGATGGTCGGCGTGCCCGAGTCGTCGTTCGACATGTTTGCGGCCAAGTTCCTGGCGCTCGGCTACAAGGTGGGCCGCGTCGACCAGACCGAGACGGCCGTGGCCAAGGGCATGCGCGTCGGCGAAAAGTCGCGCGGCGGCGGCGGAGAGATTGTCAACCGCGAGCTGCGCCACGTCCTCACCAGCGGCACCATTGTCGACGCCTCGGCGCTGCCCGACGACCTCAACAGCTACTGCGTCTCGATCAAGGAGGTCGAGCGGGCGGCCTCGGCCGGCGCCGACGGCGGCCCGCGCTTCGGCGTCTGCACGCTCGACGCCTCGACGGCCGAGTTTAACCTGTCCGAGTTTGACGACGACGCGTCGCGCACCCGCCTCGAGACGCTGCTGCGCTCGCTCCGCCTCAAGGAGGTCCTGCACGAAAAGGGCGGCCTCAGCCCGGCGACGGCGCGCGTGCTGCGCAACACGGTGCCCGCCGGCTGCCAGACGACGATGCTCAAGCCGGGCTCCGAGTTCCTCGACGCCGAAGCCACCCGCGATCGGCTCGACGGCCTCTT